AGATCTAGAGCTTTCGGATAAAATAGGTTTGAACTTCTTTTACAAGTTGGTAGATACCTACAATATTGTTCAATTAAATCCCGAGCCTTAGCCGAGAGTATCAAATTGCACAAGGACGAAGGTAGCGCGTAAAAGAGAGAGATGACTTGGCTTTCCCTTCAAAGCTGCAAGCAAGAACGAGCTGACTGCGAAGAGGAAACTTTTCGTCGATACAACGACTAAGGTAGCGATGGTGTATTTGCGTTGGTTTTAAGAGGACAGGTAATTTTATACCATTAAATAAGTAAGGTGTAGGTAATTGCTTGGTATTTTGCTAGTGATTTAATTTGTTATCATAAATTTGAATTGGCGAGACCTTTGTGCAATAATTGTGTAAATGTGTTCAGATAGTGTTAAGCGGTAGATTTGTTGTTTACTGTAGATTGAGCGTACGAGATGGTTTCATCATGTACATACGTAGTATTTCGCTGTTCACGTAAATTCATTTACATTATTAGGGATTGCAAGTTGTGCAACCTTAAATTAATGAATGTGTAATTTTATTTTTTTATTTTTTTTAGTACAGGGAGTATTTTCAAAATGCGACCATCGCTGACCACATCTTCTATTTCCGTTATCCGAATCGACCACGAACCATCGCCGCCAGCATATTAAATGCTTCTGGTTAGAAATCGGCATTTTAGAAAAGATTACAAATTCAAAAAACTGCACTTCCTGAATGTAAACACAGCAGAATAATTTACAAATTACGGCTGTTATTATTTTATAATGTATCATGTTCCATTTGTTTAATTTTCCAAGGCCTACCTAAAAGTGTAGGATCCTTTTCCAAACAATCTTTCGCACCATCGACAAATACCGGAAATACGTCAAATAAGATACAATTTAAGCATTTTTAATAATTAATTAATTACTTTCATGTACCCAATATTTGAGATTAGGAACGAAAAGAAGAAGAAGAAGAAGAAGAAAAAGTCATATTCGATTTGATTTTTGTGATTTTTTTTAGGATTTTGGATCATAATGTCAAACCTAGCCCCCTGGTGGAGAAGGATTCAACTAAATTAACTATATTCTAACTGATTCTTGTTGCCCAAGGAATGCTCTTTTCAACGATACCAAATTTGTTACAATCGGTCAAACGGTTAAGAAGTTAAAGCAGGTTATTGCAAAAACAATTGAACGCACCACGCCATCTTTGTTTTTAAAATACCTGAGTTTTTGTTTTTACGAAAATGATAGATAAACTGGTTCTCTTCAAAAATGTGAAAAAAGAATTTTTAGTTTATTATGCGAAATTTTCAGAAAATGCAATTTTAAAATTTAAGATAGCAGTTACGCCCTCTGGTGGTCATTTTTAAAACTTGAAAATATTTTCCAGCGATTCTTCACAGGATTCTTCATAACCGATTTACCCAATAATTTTTTTACCCCTCATCATACGACGAACGGTTCCCGAGACGTGGCCGAGGAACAGTCTTATTGGGTCACCCGGTACGTAGTTAGAATGCTATGTAACTTTTCGCGTGTATTTTATATTTTAACCATTCGCAGGAAGGTGACTTCATAATCCAGTTATGATGTTTGTTATCTGCTTGTGCGCTGAGTGTGGGGGGGGGGGAGGGTTTTATGTGGGGACGTAAAATATTTATAGGATTGGTCCTTGTCTTGCCATAATCTTTCATTAATTATTAACTGATGATGCCTTTGTTGAAAAATAGCGTAATTGGTGTTCGAGTTAAAATAAATTGCCTAAATACCAAGACCGCTGAATATTTATATTAGAATACCCCTGTATTCTCTCGACAAGTTATATTCTACCCATGTGTATTCTCCGTACCGTGAACCCTTGGTGTGAATGTTGGCCTCGGTTACATAACACTCATACACTTTTTTCCTGAAAGATGGTGATACAATGTTTTAAATATCGGTGCAGTCATCATTATGAGGGAAATAAGATTCCCCCATGTTGTCGTACAGGTTGAAAACTATTACAATGTAAAATTGTAAAATGCAAATTGGAAAGAAAGCAAGAAACTAAGGGCGTACATACCCAGGAAGGTTTTCAGTAGGCCTTTCTCCTTCCTTGTAATCAATAAAGTCCCTAGAGTTACCTTCGTGTGTTTATGAGAGGGCAACCTTGGATTGAATTTAGATTTGATTGTTTTCTGTTATTACTTATAAACTGAAATTAAAGTAGGACGTCAAAAATTGAGTGCACCTGTATGCAAGGCTATCTTTCATATTTGTGACCGGATTTTTACGATTTTAATAGAAGTTGCATCTTTAAAATGGGAAATGAATCCAAGTGGAAATGCGCTTTTTATAAATCTCTAACGATTACTTTTTTAACCTGTTACATATTTGTTCATTTGCGACGTAAATCTGAAGCTGTTATCCATCAGGGGTATATCAGTATTATTTATTCTCACCCTGATACGGTTTTTACGAAAATCACATTCGTTATCTTTACCAAAGACGATAGCTACAGAGTTTGTAGGGTTTAGTCTAAGACTATGTGGATTAAATACGCGCGAGATCTAATGTATATTTGAATGTATATTTACAGTATAGACATTAAATAATAAAATGGTGCTACAATGGATCCCTGAGGAACTCCTCGTGATAAAACCTTTAGCTCAGATTTTTTACCTGAAACGTTTACATATTGTGAATGGTAACTAGATAGTAAATAAACTGCACTGGTGCCAAAGCCTATATACCTCAGGATCGATTGTGTCAAACGCTTTAGTGAGTCAAGTAATGTCAGAATAAAAACTTTATCTTCGTCCTTAGCTTTTAGTAAATCGTCAACAATATTCAAGAGAGAAGTAGTGCAACTATATCCTTGTCTAAAACCGGACTGAACAGGACGGATTATGTTATTACATAGTAAAAATCTATTAATTTGGTTAAACATAATTTTCTCAAAAACTTTACACCAGGTAGGAAGAATACTGACTGGTTTAAAGTCTTCTGGTGGATATTTTTGGGAGTCGGTGTTATTGAAGCCACTTTCGACGCGTTTGGGAATTTGCTACCAAATTCAAAAAGACAGAACTAAATATATTGAAAACTGTAGGAATAGTTAAGGCCTCGGACGGACAGACGGAGAAAGTGACTGCAATATCGTACCCAACTTCATTGGAAAATTTACTAAAAAGTTTTTACAATCACGGACCGTTAGTATTATAATTACTATTATGTTAGCACTACGAGTATAACGAGTTTAATTTAATTGTGGGATTTTTCCTCGGATTCAGATCACTTTATTTGATGTAGCTAATTAATTGAACCACAACGTGCTTTTAGCTATGCCACGCCAACCCAGTTTCTCATAAATTATTACCATACAACGTGATAGTTCATAATGGAACACGCCGATACTTATTCTTCTTGTAGGTAACGATGCGCCCTCATTGCCAAGCACTCCTTTTGAGAGTACCTAATGAAAGCAGCCACCTTGTTTAGTTCTGCTATTTGCGCGCTTTGTAATATTCTCCCAAACCAGTAGATCAATTACTTGCACAATTCGTAACACTTAGTTTCAAAGAGCATGATTACAAATGGGATACTAATTCCTGATATCCTCCTTACGTAGGTATTTACTAAAATATGTATTAGGCAAAAATCTTGGTCGTGTAGACCTTATAGTAAGGGTTGGATATCCCGTACTAATCTCGCTTAGCATGAATATTCATGGTTGCACTTCTGATGTGAATATTCATGCTTGATGAGAGAAAAATAATCATCAGCACACTGTCGTATCCTCGTCGTTGCAGGATGCTATTAAATGCACTGAAGCGTAGCGCTAACTCAAAAAAGAAGTTTCAACTGACGAATTGAGAGACTGTTACTAAGCTCAGGAGACATCATAACCTTTGCATTCATTCACGTGGACGTAATTTCCAAATCAACAAATTTATTTACATCGCGCTACGAAACTCAAACTGGGATTGTATTGTAGTAGGTCGAGGCTAATTTTTATTAGGCAAACAAAGATTAACGAACATTTCGCTGATATCTGCAATGAAGCATTCAGGGAATGATTACGATCGGTTACGTGATAAATAAATTGTATTGTAATGTCAGCTTTAGTTTCCCAGCATTTCAATTTTGGTGTACTATAAAAATAAAAGCCGAATAATACGTATGCGCCGTATTCATAACTCGAGGCAACCGCTATGCATCCATCAAAATCGATTTTCGCCATAAAAAAGGCCATCTGTAATTGACACATAAATATTTCACAAGCGCTTTACAATATAGTGCACAACAAGCTAAACGCGAGCATCGAAAGCACAATTAAATTTAATGATTAAAAAATTAAATTTCATCCCTTTGAACTTTTATAATTGACGGTTCGAGACGTGATAGGGTGAGTTTAATTTATTTTTCTAATTATACTTGATCGAAGGTTTCTTTTTTACTTCGGACGGGACTCGCACTCTCTATTGATTTCCTTTGTTTTATTAAATTTACGGCATTATCGCAGACTTTCCGCTCAATTATAAGCTTTCTCGAATCGCTTTACTTTGTGCCTTGTTCTTACAGGTGCACGACTCACACGCATCCTTTGAAATCTTTATTTTGCGTAACATTAAATGCAACAACTTGAACTTGACTGGTACAATTTTTTCCAAGGAATAGACTTTTTGTTTTCATTTAGAACAAATGTATTTATTTATTTAATTCATGTACATATGTAAACTGCAAAGATGGTGAAACAATACTAAGCATATTGTTGTCAAGGTTGATTTATAAGCATTTCCTACATACTAACGTCATTAACGTAGATTAAATATGTGATATAAATAGCATGTAAACGCTTATAATAAATATTATCAATTAACAATCCTCGAACAGTCGATAACGTATCGTGTTTGAGTTATATGGAAATCCCCGAGCGAATTTTATCTCCTGTAACATTTGCTTGGGTGAGCATACGTAGTTACAACTCTAACGCTACACTGCTTAAACAAAATTGAAATCGTCAGACCTCTGATTCGAATCACCTGGTCGCAAATAAAGAGAACATCTAAATTTATTCACATATACTGGTGTGTAAACAGCAGGGGAGTCTCGTTTCTCTAGGTTGAAATAATGCCGAAGATGAGAACGAGCCACCCTGTATAGTTAGAAAGTTTATTGCTGCACAATGTTGTCATTTATTTTGTTTAGGACATGAGGGAAATGTTGTCAGATGGACATTATTGTAATGTTTAGTGTTTTTAGGACTGAAAATTGGGAATTTGAATAAGTAAGTTAAGGAAAGGAAACATTTAATTGGAAACGACGCAAGAAAGAAATCTTAACTCGTTGCGTATAAAAGTTCGTCGTCGGTTATTAGCGAGGAGGAAAATGAAAGTGGAGGTGTCAATCGCTTAAATAAGTAATGAAAATTAACGTCCAAGTTTTTGGTCCAATGTATAAAAGTATCACTTTGTTAAAGAATTTTCAATTTCAATCTCAAGTTCGTCGGATGATTCGTTGGAAGTTAGTGTCAAATAAAACAAAACAAATTTGAATTTGTTAAAACCATAAGATTGTCGTGAAAGTGAAGTTTCGTTTTTAACTGCGATCCTTTGGACCAATTTAAACATGAATTTTTTGGACAGATTGTAAGTATTCACTTTTTTATTTCACGAAATCTCTTGAATTCATTTATTTGTTTCGTTACGTCCGTTCTGTGATGCGAATTGTGTACAAAAAGGCTTTATGTTTGCCTTAAACATATCTATTACGGAGTTTTGTAATTATGTTAATTTTGTTTGATAATAAATTTTTGGTACTTCCAAGACTAAAGTGACAACTTCACTCCGCTATGACAAGTACTGAAGTGTCACTTTTTGTCCCGCCGGGATTAAATTTGGAAGAAAATCCCGGAAGGATAAAATTACTAACGAGGCAATTTCAGTAGGTTGTTCCACATTTTGTATGCGGCACCACTTCTTAAACGTATCGTACTGCTGCTCATATACTTTTTTGGATTTCGGTGGTATCAATTCTTTACCTAGTTTGGCTGCTTTTGATCAATATCAAATACACCTTTGTCACCCACCACCAAAATTGTGACACTAGCAATGACAGTTTCCAATTTATTTTTGTTACCATAGCATAGGGTTTGTCGTACCAACGCAACGTTCCTATGGTAACTTGTTAAGCAGCGATTTTTTGAAAGAACGCGTAAGTTCTCTAACTCCATACAGATTAAGTGTTTCAGTTTTGGAAGTACGAAAAATATCGTATATACCTTGCGACTGAAGTAGTGGTCTTAATCCCTCAGGTAAATTATGGCCCTCCCTTCGGTCGGGCCATAAACTTTACCTTCGGGATTAAAAGTACTACTTCAGTCCCGCGGTATATAATATACTATTTTAATCTCGGGTTGCATTATACGGGTCACTCTGTAATTGGGCGAAAGCCTAGTTGAGGGCCCAGAACATTGAATAAATAAATCCACTTTACTAATAATATACCACCATAAAAATAAATTGAACCAAGGGAGAGAATTTCCGTTATCTAGTAATAAATTCAAAACAAAAATTACTCTTCTCTAGCAGGGTCCACGCATGTATACAATTTAATTCCTTTTTCCATGTTTTAAACCGATTAAAGCAAATGAATAAATATTTAATAGAATTCACTTACTATTTAAAAGATAAAAATCCAAATTTCCGACACAAATTAAAATACAAGAAAATGATTACCTTAGTTGTACAGCAACACTAAGAAGTAAGGACTACCCTTTGGTTGTTCAAACTCAAAGTACCTACTGATTGTCGTTATAGTGCAGCGGAGAGAGCCGCGAAATCGTTCAAAAAATTTTTTCGGAGTAGAAAGAATTGGGACCCACACCATTTGGTTCAGAAATGTTTGAACCTTCAGAATCTCGCTTTACGACATTTTCCCGTGGTCCTGACAAAAGTTATAGGCCGCTAAAGTTGAAATTTACTCATTTTCGCGCGCGCGACTAGACCACCGAAAGTATTTATTTTCTATAGCTCATTCGATGCTCCAAAGCATTGTGATTATTTTATTTTCTATAACATTACCGTGAATTTTTCATAATAAAAAAGTTACGGTCATTTAAGTAAAAACCTACCGACCTCGCCGAGTCGGTAATCGCGAGTGAGACGGAGAGGGAAGAATAGTCAGCAGCGTTCGCTAAACAAGGAGCGATGCGTAAGAGATTTTACTTTACTAAGAAATTTCTCTCCGAATACCAAAACTAGCTATTTAGGCCGTTTAGTTTACAAATGCATTCTGCCGAGTTGCATTGTAAAATCTCAAACAATTCATTAACTCCATGTATCTCAGTTCTTTGGTGAAATATATAGGTACAAATAGGTACCTTTCCCTGTAAATTTTGGGGGTTACTCCACATCAGCTATCTCTTGTGCTGTGCTGTATATTGCAAGATCAGCAGTAACAACGGTATGATTTTGTCCCAAAGATTCAGGCTTGTTTTTTGATTTCACTAGACGATTCATTCATTCATGCATTCATTCATTTTTATTTAATTCCTTCGACAAATAACATTTGTATGGAACAAGTCAATATAACATTAATTAAACAAACGAACAGTTAAACAAACAAACAATTAAATATTGGAAGATATAAAATATTCTTGTATGTTGTAGAAACACCCATTGACTAGATAATCGTACAATTTCTTTTTAAATTTTTTCCATGTAAGGCAAGTTCGATGGTTAGGATGGTATTGTAACTCGCTGGTGGAGAATTCAAAAACGGCATAGGTATATTATATTGAATGGTAGATACCAGAACTTACTTAGGGGGATTATCAGCAGGTACTTAGGCTGTTAAAGTCAGTTATCTGGTCGTTATCTAGTGATAGCTAAACGAGGAATTTGGATTTCTTCTGTCGATGTATCTCGCTTTTGAAAAAAGACTGTGCGTTGAATTTTTTTCGTCTGTTTCCACAGAATATGGCCTACTTATTCTTATTCTGTGACTGTTTCCTCATTGATGTCGAAGTTGCTCGCTGTGATGGATTCTGGATTCTGGACACCCTTAGCAGAACATGTAATATTGACGTTTACTGTACTTGTTATGCCACTGTCGGAGAACATTTTCTGACCCGAAAGACCAATTTGCAAATGAGTGTAACTTTTGTTTGAAAAATGACCTTAAAAAAACTGTTCAATAATTTTGTTCCGTAAGTATGTACCTAGACAACAAACTTCGTGGAATTTTGTCAATTTTCGTTGTCCAGCCAAGAATTGCAGTGGAATTATTTTTTTCGAATTTTAAAAAACTAATTTCAGATTCAAAAACCACCAGATACCAAATTTCGTCGAAATCAACATTTTTTCGCACCCCTATTGAGGGGTGTGTCCTTTTGCGGTAGGAATTTTCAAAAATTATTTGCAAAACCGGAAAGGGCATACAGCAAAACCTATTCAAAGACTTACCACCAGTCTCTGTAACTGTTGCTGAGAAAAAAAGAAACTTTACCACTTTTTTGAGGGTGGCTCCTAAACGAATACATGGATTTTTTTTTTTGGTGTTTGGATCCATCGTTCCTCGAAATGGGGGTTGAAATATATTGTGTGATCAAAACTCTCTAAACCTTCCCCATATAGTTTTTATTCGTTGAAGTTTTTAAAAATAAAAGCGACTATAGCTTCGGCGTACTGCCATCATCAGGTGATGTGAAATTTAACAGGAAAACGGTAAGTTACAAACGTTGAAGACGAATAAGACGAACATGTTGTTTTTTAATTATTAACTGGCCGAAGCCAAGTGAAAAAACCTGAAGGGTGGTTAAACCGGAAAGGTTGTTCTAAGTTTCAAAACGAATTATTATCAAGCCTTGTTAAGAAGACAACCAACCGGAGGGTTGAATTATTACATTAAAAGTTGAAAGTTGAATTTAACACATTTCAAAAGAACCGGGGGGAAAAAATAAACTCATAAAAGTTTTGAAACTATTGAGATGACTACATATTTAAATTATTTAAGTTAAGTTTAAATTCGAGATCATGCAGACGGCATGTCTAGAAATGATTAACCACCAGGTTTACCTATCACTAGATAACGACCAGATAACTGACTTTAACAGCCTAAGTACCTGCTGATAATCCTCCTAAGTAAGTTCCGGTATCTACCATTCAATATAATATACCTATGCCGTTTTTGAATTCTCCACCAGCGAGCTACAATACCATCCTAACCATCGTCTAGTGAAATCAAAAAACAAGCCTGAATCTTTGGGACAAAATCATACCGTTGTTACTGCTGATCTTGCAATATACAGCACAGCACAAGAGATACCTGATGTGGAGTAACCCCCAAAATTTACAGGGAAAGGTACCTATTTGTACCTATATATTTCACCAAAGAACTGAGATACATGGAGTTAATGAATTGTTTGAGATTTTACAATGCAACTCGGCGGAATGCATTTGTAAACTAAACGGCCTAAATAGCTAGTTTTGGTATTCGGAGAGAAATTTCTTAGTAAAGTAAAATCTCTTACGCATCGCTCCTTGTTTAGCGAACGCTGCTGACTATCCTTCCCTCTCCGTCTCACTCGCGATTACCGACTCGGCGAGGTCGGTAGGTTTTTACTTAAATGACCGTAACTTTTTTATTATGAAAAATTCACGGTAATGTTATAGAAAATAAAATAATCACAATGCTTTGGAGCATCGAATGAGCTATAAATATTGGAAATCGATATCGTGAAATAAAAAGTTATGAGAGTTCAAAGTGCGCACTTTTCATCTGCTACACAAATTTTGGAAGTTGACGGTCATTTTTCTAAAAACTGTGCATAACAAGGTAGGTAAATATGAATGCTTTAGATTCTGCTATAAATGTACTTTCATTTTACAAAAGGAATTATTGATGTATATCGCTTAGTTGCTGAGAAAATAAATACTTTCGGTGGTCTAGTCGCGCGCGCGAAAATGAGTAAATTTCAACTTTAGCGGCCTATAACTTTTGTCAGGACCACGGGAAAATGTCGTAAAGCGAGATTCTGAAGGTTCAAACAATTCTGAACAAAATGGTGTGGGTCCCAATTCTTTCTACTCCGAAAAAAAAAATACCTCAAATAAGCGAGTTAGCGCCGGCTCTCCGCTGCACTATTAGGTGGATCCAAATGGTTGAACAGGACGGTCGATACGTGGTGAAAAGTTTCAATAATCTGGCAATTTGAGCGTTACGTGAGGCAGTGGGAAGGTGACACGAGCGCGTTGAATTTTTTTTAATTTCGAAGGAAATTATTTAAGAGTAACAGAAGTAGTATTAACCTGCCGATCTCCACGCGCTAAAGTGGAACAAATCGTCAATAAAGTTCATCTCAGTTGACTGAGATCATAGGTGGTCGTGTCATAAATTATACGTACAACGCTCTGAATATCTGACGCGCTCGAATAAATCCCGTTTTCTAGCCTTCCGTACAGCCCCCCCCCCTTCCATGCCATCCGACAGGCTAACATACCTCCAATATCAGAAACATGTGGGGTATATGCAATATCAATATCTGACGCGTTTGCGTATTTTCTTGTGATTATTTTTTTTGTAAATTATTAAAAAAAGTGTAGACGCACCCCCCGCCGGTGGAGGAATGCACATCTTATACAGAAAA